AGAATTACATGCCCTTCGCCCCTTGATTGGGAAAACTGGTAAGAAAAAAAAGTAAAAGAGAAAGAATACATTTGATGGAGGTAAAAAACAAAATAAGAACATCATGGTTCAGTTTATTGAGGAAAGAGAAATCAAAGCCATCCACCTGCAAGGCAATGAAGGCCTTTACTTCCAGTTCACAGTATTGCAGTTAGCTGTACAGAGAGGTCTATGTCAGTGACAGAGGGAGCAGAGGCTGCTCAGAAGGAGAGAGGAGAGAGAAGTGGTCACATGACAACACAGCATTGACAGCGTTTTTTCTTTTGGGTACCTGGAACTGGTTCTGTGGCCAGGCTCTCTTCCTTCACTTCAGGGGAGGAGGGCTCTGTGGTGTCTGACACAGGCTTCCCGGAGACAAGCTCAGCGGCATTTCCGTCAATAGTGGACACATCTGTCACTGTCTTCTCTCGAAGTGACTTCTCATCATCTTCGTCGATGAGAACCAATTCAGCTTTGATGGTCTCGTCATAGCCTAGCACCTTTTTAGCTTCTTCTTCCCCCTCTATGTTTTGGTAGCCCATGAAAATCATGGTCACTGGCTGGTCCATGCTCACATCCGGCACTTCAGCTCTAGGTTCTTTAGCCTGCTGTTCTATGTTCTCAGCAGAATAGTCTTTCCTTGATTTGTGGACCATTTCTAACTTTGCCTCTTTGCAGAGCATCTGTTCGTTTGTTTGGCCGAGTCTCCCGTCTACTATCACAGTCCTCTCCGACAAAGCCTTTGCCTCATGTCCTCCTCTAATGTTTGATTGTCCAGTTTTCTGAATAAAGTCATCTACATCCTTTGAGCTTAATTTATGAACTCCATTCTCTACCACGGTACCTCCCGAATGCACCTCATAGACTACTTTGGTACCATCATCATAGACTTTGGCTCCTCTCTGATGGACCCCCTCTGGGCCAATGGCTGATGTAGAGAGAATCTTGGTCTCTCCTGTTTGTTTGTCTTTCTCCACATTAATTTCCATGGCGTACACAGCTTGAATGAAAACAAGAGAGGAAGTGCATGTTACAACAAAAAAAGCCAGTGAATGGTTAATTGCCAAACAGACCAAAAAAAAAAAGTTATTGTGCCCATTTGCCTATCAAGCTATTTCTAAGTGCCAAGCATCCTATGTGTTAGAGTGAAGTATATATGGTGAATAGAGATGGTTACAGAGAATACAGCAGTATGTGCATTACAAAGACAAGTATAGTAAAGAGGTACCACACGTCAGTAGTGATCAGCCTGTCAGTCCTGTGCAAAGGAAGTTCAGTTAAGAGAGAGCCATGAATGACTGCTTAAGATTCAGTGTCATGTGGTGCATTAAGATTGGTAACATGCAAGCTGACCTTTATTATGGAGCTTACCTTCTAACTCACAGAAGAAGCGAGAATTTTTAAAAGCACTTAACATTCAAGTGGACTAACTCTAAAGTGTCATAGCCCTCTGGCCATTTTCCCTCAGAGACCTTTGCCCATTTCCAACTTCCCCTCTGTCTTCTTTGATGCCAGGCTTAGGATTCTGAAGTTAGGGGCTCTCTCACAGCTCTTTCACATTCTACTCCAAATAAAGTAAAAAAAACCAAACATTTTTTAAAGCTGTGGAAGTCTTCAGGTGATGTGAGCACTTGAGACACTTAACTTCCTTTCTTAAATAAATGACTAGAAGTAGGGGCAAGACTGAGTTTAGACTATCCATTCAGACTGGAGTATGGGAAGGATGGTCATTGGAGATCTAATTGCAGGCTCCAGTCCTGAAGGCCACAAACCCTTCTGCCCACTATGGCATTGCTCAAAAGGTGTAGAGAACAATTCACAGTTGAATCAGTCACTTGAGCATGTGTGATAAAGAAAAATGGAAATATACCATTTCTGGAAGAAGATAAGGCAATCTGCATGCTGGTCATATTTTTTTTTAAAGACTACAATAAAAAATTCAGAGTTTTATCTCTTCAAGGCATCCGATTATTAAAGTTTTACTTAATCCAAGGGAAATCTTATTTTTTTCCTCAAGAGGACACCTAACTTTGTCACACACACACACACACACACACACACACACACACACACACACACACACACAATGTACTCACACAGAGCAGTGATTAAAAAAGCAGATGTAGGGGCAGCTAGGTGGTACAGTGGATAAAGCACTGGCTCTGGAGTCACGAAGACCTGAGTTCAAATGTGATACTTACTAGCTGTGTGACCCTGGGCAAGTCCCTTAACCTGTTTGGGCTTCAGTTTCTTCATTTATAAAATAAGGGATTTGGACTACAATGCTTCTGAGAGATCCTTTTCCATTTTTAATTTTTGATCTTAAAAATCTATCTTCGATTGCGTACAGGAGAGCAGTTGTGCTCTGGGCAAGTGGGAGGTTAGGTTCCAAAGTAAGCCTTTCTAATTAGACAAAATTACCCCAGAAAATCCCAACAGTCACCCATAAAGTATAGAACCATTAAACAATTATTGCTGGAAAAGGATAGTGTCTCTGTAAAAGAGGGCAGTCTGTATCACAGAGGAGGTAGAGCAGAGAAAACAGTTGATTTTGAATTGTATTTTTCATGAATCCTTGTGAATGAGAGGTTCTTAACCTTTTTGGTCTCAGGACCACAAAGAGCTTTTGTTAATGTGGGGTTATATCTACTGATATTTACCATATTAGAAATTGAAGCTGCTAAAATTTTAAAAAATTGTTAATTCATTTAAAATAATGGTAAACTCATTACATCTTAACATAAATAATATTTTATTAAAAATAGGTGTATTTTCCAAAACAAAAATAATTCTAATGAGAAAAGTGGCATTGCTTTACATATTTTTGTAAACTTCTTTAATGTCTGACTTAATAGAAGATAGGTGGATTCTCATATCTGCTTCTAAATTGAATCTGTTATGATAAGTTATTTTGGTTGAAGAATATCTGGTTTCTCACAGGTAATGTACTTGGAAAAGGAAAGAGAATTTTAATAAGCAGATAATGTCTTAGTTTTATCAAAAAATAATTTTTGTATTATTATTTTTAATAATAATAATAATAATTATTCAATAATTATTGAATTATTGAAAGGGTGTCAGGGATAGCCCGGGGTCCAATACACTGAAGAACTTATGACTTTAGCTAATGATCAGAAGAGAGGTGGGAACAAGGACTTGTAATTAAATAGAAGAAAGTAAAACAGGTGAAAACTTAGCTGGCAGGAAAACTAATGATGGGGGAAGCCCTTGAAAGGGCATGTGAGGGTGTTACATTTCCATATGATTTTCTTCTTGTTTCATAACGAAGATAAAAAAAACACAGACACATTGAAAGTCTTTCAGTTTATCAGAAATGCTACAATGGCCAACTAAGGCTGTCCCTCTCATGAACTCTACCAGCTTTTAAGAAGGATGATAAGAATGTCTATGGGTATGATGAAGAGAAAACTGTATAATAACTCAGTGCCGGTAGCATGCAGGCAGGAGACTGAAAGAGGAGTCGATTTAAGACTGCAATTTTAATGCAAGGATTCTTCATCTTTCTTATGTCATAGACCCCTTTGGCAGTCTGGTGAAGCTTACTGACCCTTCTCTGAATAATATTTTTAATTGCATAAAATAAAATATATAGGATGACAAAGGAAACCAATGGTTAGTGAAAATAAAGATGTTTTTTCCCGTATCCAAATTTACAGACTCCCAAAATCCATATACCAACCCAGGTAATGAACCCCTTATCTCATGTCTTACTCTGGGGCTTATTGAGAAAGGCAGTTGTAATTATTGCACCATTTAAACTTTCATTTTTCTATGTACCTATGTATTCATCTATTTATCTATCTATCTATCTACCTATCTGTCTGTCTATCCATCTGTCCATCCATCTGTCCCTCTGTCTGTCTCGCTATGTATGAATGTAGCTGAACGGATCTAGTTGAATTCTAATAAGCTGAATGGCATATGATGTGCCTGAGCCTATGATGTTAGAGTAGAAAGAAACTTTACAGAACTCATTTAATAAAATTCCTCACTTTATATATGAGGAATCTGGGCCCCAGAAAAGTTCAGAGACTTGCCTAAGTCCACATAGGTGTTGAGGCATAAAGGTGGTCCAATACGACTCCACTGTGCATCCTACCCTGCCAGGTCCACATAATTTGCCGTAACAAACTGCAAATCTGGTCTAATATAAAGTAAGATAAATTTCTATTTAATAGTTTTTATTGGATTAAGGCAATGCAAATCTATTAGGGGCCTTTTTTGTTTCTCCTGCTTCAGGAGGAGTGTCTCTGAAAGTCAGAGGCACAGACTTTCAGCACATATATGTGGAGGTTCTTGGGAATGACAAGGGTTCAGTGGACCCTGAGTCAGCTTCACTGCAGCCAGGCCTCTTGCCTTGTGAAGGGGAGAGGCCCATAAAAGAGAAATCATGCACATGGTAGAAATGAGCAAGGGCTTTATGACAATTCCTGAAGATAGAAGCCAGCTAAGAAGAGAATGATTGGGAAAAGAAGCAAGCTTACTGGAAGAATGAAATAAACCACGGGACAATTTGTTTAAAAGGAAGGTCTATAAATCTATTTTAGTATGAACATGTTTCAATGGTCCTTCTTGAATATGCTTTAATGACAATAAACATTTGTATACAAATACATGCATGCATGTCACATACACTTAAAGCTGATGCCTTTGCTTCCTCACCATACGCTCTCTCTTTTACCCTTTGTAGTATGGTTTTAACTCTATCATTCTTCTGAAACCAATCTCTAAGGTCACTGATGACCATCTTATTGCCAAATCCAAGGTCTTTTTTCTTTTTTTAAAGTCTCATACTTTCTGGTCTTCTCTGAAGCGTTTGACACTATTGATCACTCTCTTCTATTGGATACTCTCCTCTTCTCCTTTGGCTTTTACTCTCCTTGTTCTCCATCTACCTCTCAAACAACTTCTTTTACTCTTTCGTTGACTCTTTATCCTTTTCCTAATATCTTTTAAGGAAGATGAACTGCAAGGTTTAGTTCTTGGTATCTTTTTTCTCTATAACCCTTTGCCCTGGCAATCACACTTAGTCTCATGGCTTCCACTGTTATCTCTGCACAGAATATTCCTAAATCTTTAAGTCCAGCCCTGACATCTCTTTTGAACTTCAGACCCACAATTCCAACTGCCTTTAAGCTGTTTCCACCTGGATATCTTACCACATCAACGTATCCCAAAGTAAGGTGTTTTCTTTCCCTTGCTTCTCATCAAAAAAGTCTTGCTAATTCCACTTCTATGCTATTGCTCAAAACTGTCCCCTCTTTTATATTTTCACTGCAACCAACCTAGTGAAGGTCATTTTAGTATTGCTCACCTCATTTTTTGTAATAATCTTCAAACACATGTTCCTACCTCTCTTCTCTCCCCATCTAATTTATTTTTCTACGCAATGCCAGACTAGGGTTCCTTATTAATAGATCTAATCATGTCATGCTTTTGCTTGAAAATCTTCAGTGGCTTCCTGTGTTGTACAAAGTAAAGTTCATTCTTCTTTGCTTAGCATTGAAAGCCTTTCACAAACTGATGTTATTCTACCTTTTCAGGCTTTTATTCTAGTAGTATAAAACAGTATTATATAATACTCCATTACATATACTCTACCCTCTAGCCAAGCTGAATTATTCTTTTCCCTCAGGACACACATTGTATTTTCCTACCTATGCTTGTACAGTTTCCTGTGCCAGTGCCAATTACTTTCTTATTATTCAGTCATTTTTTTCAGTCATGTCTGACTCTTTGTGATCCCATATGGAGTTTTCTCGGCAAAGATACCGAAGAGATTTTTTACACCTCATTTTACAGATAAAGAAACTGTGGCAAACAGGGTTAAATGACTTGCCTGGGATCACACAGATAGTAAGTGTCTGAGGCCAGATTTGAACTCATGGAGACAAATATTCCTGACTCCGGGTCCAGGACTCTATCTACTTTGCCACCTAGCTGCTCCAATTATTTACTACTCATTATTGAAAGCCCAGA